TCTATGGTGGGGATCAACCCCGCTGACGGGTGATTGCTGTGGCAAAAAGATCAGTAGAAATAGCTGAGAGACAGGCGAAACGAAGGACCCGCATGGTGTGGTGGTGAACGCGTTACTCCCCGGAAAGGATAATAGCGCGTTCGTTCCCCACCATAGACACCTACGGTCCAGAGTTTTGCAAATATCTCAGCAACATNTTCTTCTTTAACGACAGGGTATACATTGCGAAATATAACTTTAATGTTGCTGAGATATTTGCAAAACTCTGGACCGTAGGTGTCTATGGTGGGGAACGAACGCGCTATTATCCTTTCCGGGGAGTAACGCGTTCACCACCACACCATGCGGGTCCTTCGTTTCGCCTGTCTCTCAGCTATTTCTACTGATCTTTTTGCCACAGCAATCACCCGTCAGCGGGGTTGATCCCCACCATAGACACCTGCGGTCCAGAGTTTTGCAAATATCTCAGCAACGTTGTGGTTGTATTTCGCTTAGTAACCTGCCATGAAAATTATAGAAGGCAGAAAACAAAACGTTAAACATTGAAGTTATACTTCACAATGTATACCCTGCCGTTAAAAAGAGTAGACAGTAAATAATAAGTCTAAATTGTGATTATAGCTACGGCCTCAGCTTAACTGGGTTCGTTGCCGATTTGTGCCCTCCAGACGAATCCCGCCGACACGTGATTGCTAATGGCAAAAGACCAACAGAACTAGCTGAGAGACACGTGAAGCGCAACGACCCGCATGGTGTGGTGATGAACGCATTATTCCCCGGAAAGGGCAACAGCGCGTTCGTTCCCCACCGCAGACACCTGCGGTCCGGAGTTTAGCAAATATCTCAGTATCATTGAACTTAAAACATTTCAATAACTATACTGCTTTACCAAATAGTGTTTCAAGGACACTCGTAAAAAAGCTTGTTGAGACCGCGTTTTAATCTGAATGTGTTTTTTATTAAGCAATTTATGCTTTTCTTTTGTTTTTGAAACATTGCGTAAACTTTAAATAACTTTTTTATTCGTTTTTAAAGATAAAGATGAGGTGGGCCTGACACGTGGTGCGTACGAATGATAGCCGATGGACAAGAGCCGTAAGTGACTGGATTCCACGGGATGCCAAACGTACTGCAGGAAGACCGCCGACTCGATGGTCAGAATTTTTCACGAAAAGCCTAGAGGAAAGTTATAATGCTCGAAGATTCCCTAGAGAGAGCAGAACCCACTGAACTACTCTTTCACGCGACAGGGAAAAATGGAAGATTTAGTGAAGCTTGCTCGAGCCACTCGACGATCAATGGGACTGCAGGCGATACAGGTGATTCGTTTTCATCATTCGACTCGGTATCTTTAAATGCTAAAAACAGAGGTTTTCTAACTTTTGAGAGAAATCGGCTTTTTTGCATGGTTAGCTACTTAAAAGAGTTTTAGAGAAAACCAACATCATCCAAGGAAAAGAGTGTGCCTGTTACACTTTATAGACTTTTGAAATAGGTCTGTTCAATAGGTGATAAGCGCATCTTTGGTGTAAAATGTTCATGCAAGAAATATCTCATACATTCCGTACACTGGGTGAAATAAATTTAGATAAAAGTATATTTCGACTTCTTAGTGTTTATTAATTATGATCGTCACATTGGAGTCCATTTCTAAAGTCGTTGAAGTAGCCCAGTAGCTCGTACACAAAACAACGTTCATGGGTGGTTATAGCGTATCTCTTAACCCCCGTTAATTGAACTGCCACCATCCGTAAAGGAAACGATGTAAGTTTCTTCTGAGTTGAAGCCGAGGTGAGGCTGATGGATGCCTCTTTGTTCTCATTCACATTAGTTTCAAGATAATTACAAAGAAAAGCGACGGAAATCTATGATAGCTTTAGAAAAACAAGCCGGTGTCGTGAGACTGTTTTCTTGACGAGCAAACGAGAGGTGGTTAACAACAAGATTTATTCAATACAATTCTGGCTGAAATTTCCGAAACCGCCGAAACGTCGGTCAGCATTGTATTGGATAAATCTTACTGTTAACAACCTCATGCTTGTTCATCAAAAAAACAGTGTAATACTGATGAGTGCCGGGTTTAATAAAAAGTTGGTCCTAGTATACCATGATATATAACGCTGTTGTGACAAAAGACCTAAGAGAACCTTTCGATCAGAGGTCAGCGCATTTTGCAAAGTATACTGTACTATTAGCAATGGACCGAATAACAACAAATTGCAGGAAACGATGTGTTTGACCTGAAGTGGGATCCGAGATCGGATATAGATAGTACACTTCGTCGCCCTTTGTCGAATCCGATCAGATAAGGTCGCTGATATCGGCGGCGGCAGGTGCGACCGAACATCATCGATGACGAGACCATCAGATCTTTTTTGATGTCAGAAATCCTATGTGTAATTAGTGAACGCGTAAAAATATATCTATGCTAACAAATTGAGCCATACGAAATGAGTTATAGCAGGTAAGACAGTAGGTAATTAAGGGAGGTGTGAAAAATACGATATGGCGACCTCACCAACAAAAGTTAAGATTTTAATGTTGTTTCAGATTAAATTTCTGCTTCCAGTTTTTTACTATATAACAATAAGAAGCGTCCTAATAATCCAAAAAACCACTTTGTTTTACTTAAGAGTTCTTAGAATCTGTATAGTTATAACATAGCAAAATTGTTCTGCATATACTTTCATTAGGGGCGGATAGCATAGTAGTAGTGATGTCTGTCGTCACGAGCATGGTGGCAATTCGATTCCATTCTAGGCGAACCAAGTCTCTGAACCCTCCGGGGTCGTAAAATTGGTACCGGGGTTGTCTTCTGGAAAGAAAATCACTCTCTGCATGAAAACGCTCAAGCCGGGCTATCTCAGGACTCCAGTGAGAATCGACTCGACCAGCATTGTACTACATTCAAGATGAAGTGAAAATCGTCAAGTAGCAACCGAAACCACACGTAAAAGTTAGAAGATCTTCGTGGACAATGGATGCGAGGAGGCGAATCGAATGTGAAAAGTGCTGGGATCCGCACAGTAGACGTGAAAACGGGTCGTATAAAAAAATACTTTCATTCATAGCGACACAAAATGCTTCAATGAAATACAGCAGTCACAAGTTCTTATGAATACGGAAACTGTTTCCCCCGAAAGAAAAGAATAAATTTGGCACAGTGTAGGAAGAACACGATAAGTTTTATGAGCAGTGTACAAAATTAAACAAAAAACAAAAGCTTGACCAAGATAGGAGTTCCTGCTCTCGTTAAAAGCAGAACTTACCTTTTCCCAAGAAAACAATTAGATAGTTATGTTGTGAGCTTGGATAAAGGTCACTTCATTTGGGCATCGTTTATATTGTATTCCTAACCATAAGTAGTTAGTTTAGTTTTGATGATAAATACAGGTTGCCAAATACACACAGACATGTGGCCGGGTTACCGTATCCAATGAGCTCTTGCCTACGGGAGTACCACGCAGTGATAGCCATCGTCTAACTACCAATGCCATTCAGTGTTGATCAACGCCGGTGGCTATCAGGTACCACAGGCAGTCGACCTCATCGTGGAAAGCATTTAGCAAGAAGCAAGTGTCCACACAAGAATTCCCGATAGCCTGATTGGTTTTCTGACCGATATTACTGTAATTCAGAGAATATTCTCAATTGCTATCGAACAACACCGTACTGTCAATTGAATCAGCCATAACAGTTGGCACTGCGTTAGAAAAAGCTCTGTCACCTGCTCCTGAAACCATCTCTTCAAACCATCGCTTAAAAACTATCTCTTCAAAATATCTGTGTATACACTCTTCAAGTACTCTACCTAAACATCTGTCCTAGGACAATACAAGCTACTCCTTAAGCCCTCAGTTCAGTTCGTTCAGTTCATTTAGGCAGTGCTTTTCCAATTTGTAATCTTTGTTTTCTATCGTCATTATTATGCTGTTATTGTTGCTATCACTATTATAAATGTCTACAACTCAGTGTCTCAAGGCTTTCGACTCAGTAACTAAGAAGCAGAAGTCCTGCGTGGCAAACACAGAAGGCGAGTAGTCAATCAATCTACGATTCACAACTACGTGGCATTCATATAACTGTACTATAACTATACTACACCACATGTAATGCGGTTTGACTAGACGGAGCCGACGAAGAATGTGGAAGTAAAGTTGAAGCATGAAAAACCAATCGCGATTGCTGAACAAGAAAACGACGCATTCATATTCCAATGCCGAGGTTAAGAGAAAGTCGATCCTGGGAATAGTGATTGCAATAGATTTTTAACGAAGCTTGTTCGTATTTTTCGTAAGTTATCCTAAAGGATAAAGCTTTCGGCGTTGATCAACTCCTGAGGAATGAGCCGTGAATTCGACTTTGTTAAGAATCGTTTGGAGGTGATTGAATGCATATCTGGCCTTTACAATGACTCCCGGTGGCCTACCGATGTACCGAGCCAGTGTTGCTATCCTCCCACAGAAGTCTGGTTGCCGATCCCGGAAGAGTGGAAGGCTTGATGAGGCTGGGGCGCGTGGATCGATTCCGCGGTGTGTGTTGTATAGCGCCTTCGACCACTGCGTCATATGCGCCGTAAGTTGTCCTATTTATAGAAATTTTCTACTTCAACCAAATTAAATTTTGTTTTTAAAATATATTCTGAAGGAGTATTATGTAAATGAAATGTATCAAATAGATTATGACAAAGAAACCACAAATTTATCGCCTTTCAACTATTCACAATGGAAGCAAATCAACAATTTTCAAGGATTTTAGCAACAAAAATGGAAACATCTTGAACACACAAAATCTTTTCTGAAAATACAAGTTATTTCGTACTGGAAGGACGAGTGAAAGAAATGGGTGAGAGAAAAACGAAAGGAAACAAAAATTAACAAGAAATAGAGCAAATGATGTTCTAGAGCAGTCTTCTATATTTGAAGTGAGCATTAAAGTTCTATCACAATTACAAAAAAAAAGTAAAAAAATCAATTAAAGTTACAAATTTATACAGCAATCTACGTACACCAGTAACTCGCGTAGCTTCCGTTATGCATTTCCGGATTGCCTTTCAGCGTCACCGGCTTGCGCACATTTTTTCGCATATACTTCTGCAGTTGGAGTAATTTCAGTCGCAACCTTAACAGAAATTGTATTTAAGAGTTTGAATGAATTTCTAACACGCTAATAACAACGTGCGAATTCCAAAGTTTGCTTTATTTCCAAAGCATTCGGTCTTTTACATCGCCTTGTACAAGTTTGTTGACTAATTGACCAGTAAGGCAGTAAATAAAAAAGCTAATATTGTGATTTCGATTGCAGCCTCAGCTTAACTGGGTTTGATGCCAATTTGTGCTCCCTAGGTCAATCTCGCTGACGCGTGATTACTAATGGCATCGGTAGGTAGGAAACTAGCTGAGAGACAGACGAAACGAAGGACCCGCAAGGTGTGGTGGTGAACGCGTTAGCCCCGCAAAGGATGGTAGCGCGTTCGTTACCCACCGCAGACACCGACCGGCCGGAGTTTTGCGAATGTATCAGCATCGTTAAGGTTGAATTCGCGTAGTAGTCTGCGCTGAAAATTTTAGTAGGCAGTAAATAAAAAGGCTAACATTAAAGTAGCAGGGATCAGAGATAGGATTTAGATCCAGAGAGAACTTTAGTCATTAGCTAAAAAAACATCTCTCCGGTTCACAAAAGCTGCGAAGTGCTTAGTAAGGCCACCTTGCGAATGTATGGAGAACCAAGCTCAGTTACGACCCAATGTGTTCAGCAGAGAGAGAACCACGAGATCCCCAAACAGCAGTCGAACATCCAAAGCCGATTATCTTCGTTGACGACGTCTGTGCAACAGTGAATGAAATGGATAAACTGCCGACACTAGGCTATTCATCTATTTAAGGAAGCGGACTAAGTCACATTATAAGGTTTTTTATGCAACAATACCATAAAATAAATAAGCCTATCATATGGGACTCGATTGCTGTCAATTTTAAAATCCAAATTTTGCTTGAAAATATACAGTATTCGTGCTTTCTAATGTCTTTAACATTTTTTGCATCCAACAAGCACTTAGGTATATTGACCGTTTCACTCTTTTAGTAAGCAATCGAAGCTTAACCTTTAGTAAAAAAAAAACGTGGATTCATGTCGTAAATATAGCTCCTTTTCTTCACTGAGGGTTAGGCTGCACATTGTTGGAGCATAACAAATAAAGTATGCATTATTTTTGAAATCTTTCTCTTTATTTCAACGAAGCAAGAACAGTTGAAAACTAGTTCAATCTCGAATACATCACTAGTGACTAAATTTACTCATATGTGTATATGTATATGTATTTATATATATATACAAATATTTTCACTTCCTTTCATTTAAATCCTAAGTAATTTGTTTACTAATGTTGCTAGATGGATGGCTCATTTCCATAAAGAATCTTAGGGATTCAGGCATGTTCGCCACGTAACAAATACTTTGTTGATTTGACATGATTACTTTTCCTTGGTGCTCAATGAAATTCGTGTTGGGCTTTGCGAGGTCTTCATCACAACCAGTTGATAGTCCATGTAGATCGGAAGGAGATTTACCACCTCGCGACTAAATTAGATCCAAATCAGCTTGCTTTCTGCATTGGAATTGTTCGACATCTTCTCAACCTCGGTAATGCACGTGACAGCGAACTCCTTGTTATACGCCGTAGTTAGACACTCAAGAAGACATGATTTCATGATGGGCGACAAGCTATAGGTAGGCTTCATGTTCAACTCACTTCAGTTCTGTAATCTACGGCAAATCTCTACTTACACATGGTCAATGCACGTTTAAAACTGTATAAATAAAATAAAACTGACAAAAAAATCTAGTTGAGCTTTAAAAAAACGGAAATGATACTGTAAAACACTTACCGACGAACTAGTCTAGGATGCGTCCTTGAAATGTCATTGTTCTCTCCAGGGTCTTCTGCAATTAAACCATATTTAACTAGCAGAAAAACAATCGCTCAAGCAAACCGCCTATTTGCTCGAAAGTGAGAGACTCAAAAAAATTTTCTGTATAAGGTAATAAGATATTAAGTGAAAAGTTTTCTCTAATTTTTCTTCATAGTATTGTTCTTTGCTTCCACTTCTTCATTCTGAATATCTTCGACATCCTTGTCTCACATATTCGTCGTTCCATTGTTAGTATTCATATTATGTCGCTTTCATTAATTTGAAGTCTCACTCTTATGGTTCCGATTTGGCTCATCGTGCGGCAACGAGAACGCCCAAGGTGAAAGAAAGAGGTATCGGTTGGACCGAAACTTTGTACGCAAGCATTTCCACTGAAACAGAATTGTACTCCAGGAATGTGTAGATGAGCGTGTTCATAAATTTGCTGGTGGCTACACTAGTGTTAGTGATGATTAATATCCTGTATGTTAGGTAAAAACATGTAGTGAAGTAACTGTGGTGTGGCAGGTTGTTTGGAGTCGTCTTCAAGTACAACCGGTCCACTGCAGCAGAGAGAAGAGTAACCTGTGATTACTTCACACTAAGCAGTGAAAATTAAGGTCCCAAATCGACGAAGACGATTTTTTCGTGTCTTCTAAGCCAGTGCACTTTAGTGAGCCACCACGGCAAAAGACAGTATAGGAGATTCACTGATGCTTTCTTTTATCATTCAATGATGAATGGGAGCTTAGATAGCAAGAAGCGAAGCAGAAGAAGAAGCAACAAGCGACCAGTTGCTTTTTTATTGCATTTTTTCACGGATTATCACTATTCTTATTACCGGTATTCATATTTTTATCACTACTATCGCTATCATACATACTGCTGTCATAGTATCGCAGTTATCACTATTGTGATTTTAGAAATTTGCACCTGGGAATCAAGCGAAGTGTTAAGTGATTTCTCGACGGGGTTCGTCAGGTTACCTTCGAATTTTTTCTCGCAATGAATATTAAAAATAAGTGCACTGGTGTAAAAAATGTGACCAGTACACGTGTTGAAAGCGATTAGTGGATGGATCCAGGGAAATATATACCTGTTATCCGGTAGAGTCGATTCTTTCCGCGATCAGATCGCGTTCGTCGATCCGCATTGCCATGTATCAACTTAAACTCCCCGTCGCTGAAATGTTCGCAGTTTTACCTAGACATTAGCTTAAATAGGGAGTGTGTAGAGCAGTGTTTACGGTTGCGCTACAATACATACATGGTCTTTGGTTTGACCTCACGCCCTAGGCAAAACGTGACCGCCATCCCAACGAAGTCGGCAGATTGGTTGCAAACGTTTCCGGGCGAATAAAAACTCTGAGTTCATAGATCGCTGATCAATCGCAACACGTATGCATTCATTTTCACCTATTATTTTTGGTGCGAATGCAAGATGCATTCCTTTGAAAGTGATCAACACCGAATGCTTTATCTTTTATTTAACTTATACAGGACAATACCCTCCCAACGGTTTACCGCCTAATCGTGGCTGGGAGGTGTTCCAAGGTGTCGGACTGCGATGCACAGCGGGGGAATTCGTTTCCGCGACAAGGCCTCCCAAGCTGAGAAGGAGTGCGGCGTTTTCATCAGGAAGCCTAGCTAAGAGTAAACCAATACCAGGATACACCACCGTCCTGGTATCAAAGTCGCATGGTGGTAAATCTCTCTGTGATCCACAAAGGCTGCGACTGCCAGTCGTGGTGACGACCTAGGGCAGACTTTAACCAGGCTGACCTCGGGATTCCAGGGAACCACAATAGCTTAACCAGAAAATCTCCGAAAAATCGTGATTATGCTGGGGTCCGCGCAACTAGTAAGGACGGGCCGTTCAAGATCAAGTATATAGGACAATACAATGGTGTTGGTGTGGCGTTGAGGACATATTAGAATATGAGCTAGACGAGACGTATGAGCGAGTTGAGAATGAAATCTCTGCGGCTTGTGCGGTTTCTTCAAGTGTATTTTGCACATATCAAGGAATGCACGAGTGATGTTCGAAGGAATGAGGACCAAGCCATTTAAGTTCTGTATTGCATTCATAATTGTGTAATTATTGCAACTACTTATTCCATCTCTTATTGAAGTGCTCCTTTACAGAATATTTGCAATTGTTCTGTATTGCACGAGGCAACGATGACATGCTCATTATTCCCATGACCGACTTTCTGTTAACCTCGGCATTAATTGATAATCAATTCCCACGCCCCAAAGCGATAATTCTAGTGAAAACAAGGCTCCGTTTCTGTTGCCCTTTATTTCAAACGAAATAAGTGCAGCTATAAAACGCTGCTTAATAAGGGCCGGTCTAGAGAATTTCGTAAGAGTGATAGAAATACCACCGGACACTCTAAGACGCCAGCTAGTTCGCAACCGCCTGTACGACCGTCTATGTACAACAAAAAACTGCATAATTTGCCCAAATGGTAGAGACGGTGATTGCATGAGTTCGGGTACAGTCTATCTGATCTCTTGTAAAGCGTGCGGGCACGAATATGTTGGCGAAACGGGTAGACCGCTCTGCGTCCGCATAAAAGAACACCTAGTCGGTAAATCTAAACTAAAACAAAATACTCCACTAGGCGCGCATAGGATGCAAGAACACAACGGAGAAGATTTTGAGGTAGGAGTCACTATCCTTACGCAGGAATCGAAAACATCAGCGCGAAAAACTCTTGAAGCGTTTTGGATCAATGCCAAAAATTCAAAAATGAACCGCAAGGAGGAGTGTCTTGTCATCACGCGTGACCTAGCGCCATACCTCAGGCTGATCCAATGATCTGACATGGACCCAGTTATCGACCATGTATTACTCTGTGCGGCGGCTATCCACCAACTAACTTAAATACTTACAACAAATAAACGGTAGGTGTTTGAATGAAGCTGTTTCTTATNGTCTATGTACAACAAAAAACTGCATAATTTGCCCAAATGGTAGAGACGGTGATTGCATGAGTTCGGGTACAGTCTATCTGATCTCTTGTAAAGCGTGCGGGCACGAATATGTTGGCGAAACGGGTAGACCGCTCTGCGTCCGCATAAAAGAACACCTAGTCGGTAAATCTAAACTAAAACAAAATACTCCACTAGGCGCGCATAGGATGCAAGAACACAACGGAGAAGATTTTGAGGTAGGAGTCACTATCCTTACGCAGGAATCGAAAACATCAGCGCGAAAAACTCTTGAAGCGTTTTGGATCAATGCCAAAAATTCAAAAATGAACCGCAAGGAGGAGTGTCTTGTCATCACGCGTGACCTAGCGCCATACCTCAGGCTGATCCAATGATCTGACATGGACCCAGTTATCGACCATGTATTACTCTGTGCGGCGGCTATCCACCAACTAACTTAAATACTTACAACAAATAAACGGTAGGTGTTTGAATGAAGCTGTTTCTTATGCGAATACAAATCGACTTATCAAGTTTTATCTGCTGGGGTTATGAAAGTGTTTGGCTGAGTAGATCGCATCTCAATTTGACCTTTCCAGGCTCTGAAGAAGGCGAAACCGCCGAAACGTCAGCAATTGAGTTCTAATAAATTCTATATTAACAACCTCGTGTCTGCTTATTGATGAAAAACATTGAATGCTCATTATTGTTCAAAACAATGACCCATGACCATAAAGCACTAACGTTGATCATTCTTTTTTCATAAGTGCTGAGCGAAGCGACAAGAAAACGCTATGTGAAAGTTCTTGAATAATCATGAAAGTGGATGTGAATCATGAATCATGGATATGCCGATGGAATTCCAGCGCACAGTATGTAGTGAGCGTACAACTATCGCTTTTTCAATAGCTCCCATGCCAAAGAAACCTCTGACCTATTCAACGGTGACTAATCGAAGAGTTATAATAAATTACAATGTTTACTTTTTATTTTCTGCCTCTAAAATTTTCGTGGAAGGGTGTTTTGTGAAATACAACCACAACGATGCTGAGATATTTTCAAAACTCTGGACCGCAGCTGTATGCGGTAGGGAACAAACGCGCTATTACCCTTTCCCGGGCTAGCGCTTTCACCGCCACACCATGCGAGTCCTTCGCTTCCCCTAACTCTCAGCTAGTTCTATAGATCAGTGCCATCAGCAATCACCCGCCAACAGGATTTATCTGTAGCATAATGAAAATAATACCCAAGTAATAATAGCCGTCCAGGAAGGCAATGGAGAAAATCATTCACGAATACTGCTTGGATCTCTTCGATAGCCACTTCCACCTTCCGTCATACGAAATAAAGGAGGATGGATATGTTGTATCACCATTTCTCCCAACCGAAATCCGACATGCCATTTCGTCGGTGAAAAATCGAACAGCACCAGGTCCGGAGAGGATGAGATTACAACACCGGAAGAACCTTCCGGCAGTTCTCGTAAACACGCTGGCTCGGCTCTTCACACGTTACCTCTCTGAATGCAAGCTCCCTGCTTAGTGGATGATCAGCAAGGCCGTGTTATTGTTCAAGAAGAGTGACCTGCACGATATCGGCAACTATCGCCCAATCTGCTTGCTGTCTGTCGTCTATAAACTTTTCACTCGAGTAATCCTAAACAGGATTGACAGAACACTAAACGAAGGATAGCCCTGTGAGCAAGCAAGGTTTCGAAGAGGATTTAGTACGATGGACCACATCCACACAATAACAAGACTCATTGAAGTGTCGCGAGAGTACTCGATTTAAAGATGGCCTTTGACTCAATTGAGATAGAAACATTTACGGAAGCCCTTGATAGTCAAGGAGTCCCTACTCAGTACATAAAGATTATTCGTAAGCTGTACAAAAATTTCACAACTAAGATATCATCATTCTACAGCGATATTATCATTTATGTTAAAAATAGGGTTAGGCAAGGCGACACCATGTCGCCAAATTATTTACCGCCACCCCACAGAACGTTATGCGAACCTCGGAATGGGATAATATGGGAATGAAAACCGATGGTAGGCAGTTACACCATCTTCGCTTTGCTGACGTCGTCCTTATAACACCAAACATTAGCCAAGTCGAACGAATTCTTGCTAACTTTGATAAAGCATGTGGAAAGAATGGTCTTCGACTAATTCTTACAAAAACAATGTTCATGAGGAACGGATTGGTTTCGCGTGCCCCACTCACGCTCGACGGAAAGAATATCTCCGAATGCTCCAGTTAAGTCTATGTAGGTCAGGAAATCAACATGTTGAAAGGCTTAGCTCCAGAGTTGAGCAGAAGGAAACGAGCGGCTTGGAAAGCTTTCAAGAGGATCGAGGATGTAGTGAAGATAGCGAAGAACACCCGATTCCGTGCCCGCTTTTTCGACCCAGCGGTACTTCCTGCCCTAAGGTAAGCGTCAGAAACCTGGTCGCTGAGTAAGCAGGATGGAAGATCACTCAGCGTTATTGAACGCACTGTCGAAAGGACGATACTGCTAGTATCCCGTTTCACACAAGAAAGGGAAGGAATCCGAAGCTCCGACGCGCGTCAGCGATCAAAAATCAAAGATGCCGTTCTGTACGCCAAACAGTCGAGAATAAGGTGGGCCGGACACGTAATGCGTATGAATGAAAACCGATGGACAAAAGCCGTTAGTGACTAGATTCCTCGGGATGTCAAACGTACTGCAGGAAGACCACCGACCCGATGTTCAGAGTTTTTCACAAAGAGCCCTGAGGAAAGACATGATGTTCGACGAGTCCCTAGAGCGAGCAGAACCCACTGGGCAACTCTTGCATGCGACAGGGACAAATGGAAGGTTTACTAGGGCCCGCTCGACTCGCTTGACGATCAAAGAGACTATAAGTGATACAGGTGATGCAGGTGAAGAATAGTAGCATAATACCCTGCCGTGATGATTTTAGGCACAGAAAATGATAAGTAAACACTGTGATTTCGACTACAGCTTCAGCTTAACTGAGTTCAACGCCTATGTGGGCTCCCCAGATCAATTCCGTTGACGAATGACTGCTAATGGCACTGATCGATAAAACCAGATGAGAGACAGGCGAGACGAAAGACCCGCACGGTGCGGTGGTGAACGCGTTAGCTCCTGGAGAGGGTAATAGCGTGTTCAATCACAACCGCATACACCTGCTGCCCGGAGTTTTGCAAACTTCTCAGCAACGCTGTGGTTGTATTTCGCTTAATACCCTGTCGTAAAATTTGTAGTAGGCAAAAAATAAAGAGCTAAAAATTTGCATGTTTTCCAAATTTTCTAAATTGACATGAAGCCTAACAGTACTTTGAATATTGCGGAAAAGACCATTACATCAATATTGCCTCTTGTTGTTTTCTAAACAAGGATTCATAAACCTGCTCTGAAAGCTTAAAAGAAGGTGAGTTGTAATGGAATAACTATCCGCAACCTACCGTATTGCTGACCCTTGATCGTCAATATTGTATACAAACCGGAACCGACGAAGCCGTGGAAAACCAGTTGCAATGTAATCCCATTGGTTGATTCCGTCTCCTTAAATGAATTTGTGCAATTATAAATAATACAGCATACAAATATGTATACACCCATCTGTGGATACATATGGCAAATATATATATATATATACATACAACATACATATACCACAATATAGAATGGGGCGCATGTGGCGCAGTGGTCAGAGGCGTCTTGCAACACACACGTGGACTCTATCCATGTGCCTATGGCCCACCAAGCGCTCCGTTTTCTCTGAGTCGGCAAATTGGTACCAGACTTGTCTAGGAAGATAGCATACTGGTTCGATACATCGGTAGGTCACTGCGACTCATTGTACAGCCCGAATATGCATTCAATCACTTCAAATCTATGCTTAATGATGTCGAATGCATGGCGCATCCCTCAGGGATCGATCAACGCCGAGAGCTTTATCCCTTTATCCTTTGTGTGTATAATGCTTTAATATGTTTGTATTTGCAAAACTCTGGACCGCAGGTGTCTATGGTGGGGAACGAACGCGGTATTATCCTTTCCGGGGAGTAACGCGTTCACCACCACACCATGCGGGTCCTTTGTTTCGCATGTCTCTCAGCTATTTCTATCGATCTTTTTGCCACAGCAATCACCCGTCAGCGGGGTTGATCTGGGGAGCGCAAATCGGCATAGAACCCAGTTAAGCTATGGCTGTAGTTGAAAATTATAGAAGGCAGAAAACAAAACGTTAAACATTAAAGAAGCAAGCATTAAAGATTCCTTTTACATGTCACTGCGACCTTTAAAAAGTGTAGCGTGCTCAAAAAGATCCGTGGTTGAAAATAATTCAATTCTAAGCGTCTTAGAATTAAGGAATTCTCAAACCAAGCAGCTTAAAGCAACTTTAGATTTACTGCCAACATGTCTTCATTCCTGTATTGCAGGTAAATTTCGTTTATGAAGGCAATGAAGGGTTCCACTTCTATAGAAAATATCAGATTGTGTGAAACTAAATTTAAGTGGGAAATAGTATTGGCCACTATCTTGAATATCTGGAATAACAGCGAACTGTTCCAAACAGCTATGTATGTCTTCTATAACACTTGCGTCCCATACCTTTCACCATCAACCGAAGTGATCTCGCACATACATTTCCGTCAATTACTGTTTTTATAACACATGAAGCTACCTAAAAACTGTTTTGCGGAGTTTAATGTCTACTTATGGGTCAGCAACTTTTTAAAGCAAGCTAGGCCAATTTCCTTCTTATGGAAAGTTCCTCTTTCAGATAGTTCTCAGTGTGTGCTAATGACAGCTACAGCCTCAGCATTACTGGGCTTATTGCCTTAGAGACCGATAAAACTAGCTGAGAGAGAGGCAGAACGAAAGACCCGCATGGTGTGGAGGTGAACGCATTAGGCTTCGAAATGGGTAATAACGGGTTCGTTCCTCACCACCGCAGACACCTGCGGTCCGGCGTTTTTGCAAACATCTCAGCATCATTGAAGTCATGATAATTATAGTTGTTTGAATGATTCCATGAAGAATAACTGTGTAACAATATCAACTCGATCTCATAAATATTGCTTTAGTGCTTTATTTCTTCTATTTGAACCGTCTCTAAGGGAACACAAGCATAGAAGAAGGAATCATCAACGACAGTTTCTATAATCTCGCACACCAACAATGGTGGCTACAGTATTGTAATATATTAAAAACTGCGAGTCTACTCAAAAATTGTCTTACCGTATGATTCAATCTGCAATCCTGCAAGGGCTAGCAACGTTGCGTGCCAGTCAACTACATGAAAAAGTCTGCAATAGGTAAAATATGTTAAGAGACACTGGAACTGCAACTAAAAGTGCTTGAAGAAGTTTTTTCTACGGACATTTGGATAAAAAAAAACCGGCAAAAGTTGCTGTTTGATGGAATCCAATCTTAAAACATAGAATTCACGTGTGCCTCGTGTTACATTTTATAAGTTGTTTTCCAACAAAAAAGGATAAAGGATAAAGCTCTCGGTGTTGTTCACTAGCTGACGGATGCGCGATGGATTCGGCTTCACTACGCATCGTTAGAGGTGGTTGAATGCATGTTCGGCCCATACGTTCAATCGTGGTGGCCTACCGATGTATTTGGTCAGCCTATACTCCCACTCAGGTCTAGTACCAGTTTGTCGATTACGGTCGCAAGATTTGAAGGCTTCATGAGTGTGGAGAGCAGGATGGAACTAATGTGCATCGTAGGGAATCTCTAACCACTGCGCTACACAGGGCCGGCTAATAACAATAAGAAAGGATGAAGGACAAAATGTTGCGAATCGATCAATCCCTTGCTAATTCGAATCCATTAATCAGTGTAGAGGTGATTAAATGCAGATGAGGGCTAACCAATGGCTTCTAGGCCTTTGATATATCAAGTCATAGATCACATTTTTCATTCCAGGCAAGTACCGCACCAATTTTCTCTTAGAGGGATAGGTGGCTTTGTCAGCCAAGGTCATGGTCTCCAATTAACGAGTGATAGAGGATATCTCTAAATAGTTGCATACCTCTTTTGGCACTTTTGTAATAGAATATGAAAACAACCAGTCTGAACAACATGAGATAGTGCCGTTATTTTTTTAGATAGGCGACTAGGTTTTCACAATGAACGAAAGCGTTCAGAACCCACCCTGGCCGAATTCCGTTCAGACGAATAAACTTAGGAGCGTGAACAATAGTGGTGGTCTTCGTTCCACCTTCCCATAATGTGTCCTTTTCGCCTCTTAGAGGGTAATTGGATGCACCAAACTGCGATGTACCGCCATTCTGAAAATTCTATAGGTCTCATAACAATTTTTAATGCTTCTGATCTTTCTCAAGTCTTCCTTTCTTCTTCTTTAACGGATCATTCCAATCGAAAATCTTCTACAACTTCCTTATGCGTACTTCAGTATCAAGGCTACCAGAAAATAAAGCAATTTAATCAGTTTCGGTCCTCTTTCATGTTTTTCTTTTATAAGAGATAGAGAATGCTGCATTAATCAAAAATTAACTCTTATGTATTCTCATAAACTATTGAGCGCTTAACGATGGACTAGATGGGGAAGCACTAAATTTTATTTGCTGCTTACTAATTTTTTTTTGATAGGGCACGGTATGAAATACAACCACATTGATGCTGAAATATTTGCAAAACTCGGACCCCACGCCAGATGAGTACTCGCGAATAGCTCTTCCACGAGCACATGTGTTATCCATTGCATCATTGAGGCCTTTGCCTTGCCTTTGTCTCAGCTAGCTTTTTACTTCAACGGTTTCATCACAGTCACCCGTCAGTGGGAATGACCTGAAGAGCACAAATCGGCATCGAATCCAGGTAAGCTCAAGCTGCAGTTGAAATCAGTTTTTTATTTGCTGCCTGTTCTTTTTCATGGCACAGTATTAGGTGAATTAGTTCAGAGGTGTTCCTGGGTGTCGGACTGCGATTTACATCCGGGTGGTTTCATTCCCTGACAGGCTCTGCCAGGCTGAGAAGGAGTCCGGGGTTTCCATCAAAAAGTCTAACTAAGAGTAAAACGATACCAGTATCCGCCATCATCCTGGTATCAAAGTCGCCTGGTGGCAGATCTCCCTTTGATCCATAAAGGCTGTAACTGCCTGTGGTGGTGGTGACCTAGAGCAGACTTTGGTACGGCAGACGTCGGGATTCCAGCAAACAACTGTGGCTTCACGAGCAAATCTCCGAAAAATAGAGATTATGCTGGCACCCGCACAATCAGTGAAGACGGGCCATTTTATCAAGTAATTTAGAATGGATCTTAGAAAAATGAATATGGTAAAGGCTTGGTAAAATGGTTATAAATAAGTTCTCAGTGCATCTACCTACGAAAATGAATGTACTCCATTTACGTCCATATGTGGATCTACTTACCCTATGTGTGATGGTGCGAAGTTAATCTCGACCACTAAAGAAACTGATGACTATGTTTCGCATAACGTGCATGGACTTGATACAAAAAGCGGACTTACATCACTAGTAAAAATGACCACAGTATCCTCATAGTTTTTCGTCGCCTTCAGGAAGTCAATAACACGGCCGATTGCGAAATCCATTGATGTGAGCATTCCTATAATGAAATATTTTTGAATATCGCATGTTAAAAACTATCTAGAAAAGAGGCGTGTTATGTTATGTGTGTGTGTACTAACTTTGAGACCGCTTTGATGGTCCTTGAATCGCTAAAACATTAACATGGCTAAGTTACGGCAAAATGTGATGACACCTAAACAACGCAAGCTAAAGGCAAGTATTTTTAAAATCAGTACCGCAGTAAATTCTTCGCGATTTGGAAATGATTCGTGAGCAGTACTTGTCGAATTGTTTTGGGACCTACAATACGTTTAGCGTAATGTGGAATACGATGCTCCAATAGTTCCATCAAGAGGCAAAATCCACAAATTTCTTTCTTGTATTATCCTTTGTTTATGTCTAAAGCTTATAAATTGAAACCACATTATTACCTGAAGAGGTGGATGTACAGCTTGAAAGGAAAGAAATAAGAAGAACGGCTTCGATGTATCGTGTGCTTCAATCACCTCCATAGCAGCATCGGCAAACAGATCCTAAATAAGAGCAGATAAAGTCATAAATGAGAGATTTTCTTAGACCTACATGGAATGAGATGCGTATAGCGGACTGCTTAAAGTTGCCCTTCAATGGGAACACGATTGTTTGCTCAAGCTCGTGCCATGGATCAGCTAATGTTACATCCCTCCGGAATGGACAAATTGCTGCTAGATTTCTATGAGTAGGTAAAAAAAACTGTCTTGATAAATCGGTGAGCAACCGCGAGTTGTTATACAGGCCAGATATGCATATTGCGGCCTCTGTGATGCTCTAAACTGAAGCGAATCCACAGCTCATCCCTGAGGGATTGGTCAGCTTCGTACGCTTCACTCATATCCTCATACCATTTGGCTTTGCTTCTCATAATGTCGGAGCCTACGTGAAAAATCGCAGATATCAGATATGGTAGAACACGTATTTTAGGTAGTGATGTCATAAGACTGATGTGGCAATGTTGTCAAATAGGAAAACAAATTTAATTTGCTATGAGAATATCAAGTGTTTGGTGTATTCAGCGCCCACTGTGCACAAGTGTTCACAAGCTACCGTACTCCTCGTTCTCAGAAACGTTGTAGGCATAGTTATAGACAAGCAAATGGATACATAAGTGAATATGCAAGGTAAGTTATTCAGAATAAATCTCACCGTTGAATAAACTCCATTCTGATCGAACACGGGGGTACTATAACCGCTTCCAAGTTCTTCGAACAAATCGACACCACGCACAACTCGTTTCAGAGCATGGTGCCATAGGTCTGAAAAAATAAAATGCTCGAAACTTCTACTAAAGTCGTGTTTAGAAAAAATTACGTTGCTATTCCAACGAATTAATAAAGAAAAATTCAAGTTCATCGAGATTCTTCTTTTACAATGGTGTTTCTATTGTTAGCTTATAAGAGCAAATGGGAAGCTGGCATTATCCGTTAGGTTAACGAAAACTGATCAATTACCTAGTTTTATATTTACCGAATTTTGAAAAACATGCGACAAAGCTTCCGGTATGGTATGTTTAATTAAAAAATAAAGAGCTCGGAGTTGTCCATTCTGTGAGAGACGTGAAGTGCATTGAACACCATTAGGCATCATCGAAATGGTTGGATGAATATCTGAGCTATTTAGTGACTTGCGGTGCCCTGCCGATGTACCTAGTCAATGTTTTCCCAGACGAGAATCCCAAATTGGTGAAAGTGTCGGTGTGAATGAACAACATGTATTCCTTCATTGATAACCTAACAAGAAGCTAATGAAAAACCTTATTCGGCCACATTAGCACTCTACTCGTTAGACGAAGGAAAAAACCTTCCAAGAAAGGCAAAGTTGCAGAAATGTTAGCCTTTGCAAGCCAGAATGCGACGCTAGCAACCATGTGTCGGCTGAACAAGAATAGTTTGTAAGAACAGAATAAATTCTTCACCAACACCGAGGTAAATTGGAAGTTGACCTTTTTACTCATTGATTCGTTTACGGATGATATTTCAAACCTACCGGCGCTGTGATTGAAATAACCAGCTTGAGGACCGTAAAATCCATAGAAATAGTCGAAACCGCGTGATGTCGGCAAAAATTCTCGTCTACAGTAACCCAGATGCCATTTTCCGATGAGATACGTCGAATAGCCGAGAGAGCGAAGATTTTCAGGAAGAAATGGAAACAAAAGAGGTACACCGCTAGGTTCCATGTGCAAGAAAACACCGTTCTAAAATTCTAAAATTCACACAAGATCTTATGCTATCAAATTAAAAACAAATTCACTATGTTAAATCTTTATTCACTGCCTATTGCAACTTTTTCACAGCACGGTATTATGTGTGACACACCAACAATGATGCTGAGATATTTGCAAAACTCTGGACCGCAGGTGTTTGCGGTGGGGAACGAACGCTCTATTATCCTTTCTGGGGACTAACGCGTTCACCACCACACCATGTGGCTCCTTTGTTTCGCTATCTCTCAGCTAAATTCATTATGTCTGTCATAAACTTTCGAAATGGAACCAATTGTATATAACAGCTATTTAGAAAAAGTGCATTGATTTTCATTGAGCAAAGAAGTGACGATGAGAAATTCCTACGTAAAAGTAAAATTATTGATGGGTACTCACCTTTTCTATTACTATTTTGTGTATTCCGAAAAACGTTCTCGATTCAGATATCATTAAAAAAAATGCAAGAGAAACTGCGACCGTATATAGAACATCTGCTTATTGAGCGAACGTTCTTTCCTTAAGCATCGTGCAGGGACTGAGACATTTAAATGTTTGACCTTTATTATAAATAACAAAGAAGTCGTCCTCGAAAAACATCTTTGATTTGAAAACTGAAAGACATGAAAAAGTTCGGCTGAACTGATATGTAGCCTGTCACAATCCACCTCATCTTCTTCAACGAATATGTTTAAAAACCGGTCCACTAGCTGATCAAGCCGCATAAGCAATTTTTCTTTCGATTTTACGAGGTCTGAGATAGCTGCTGTTTCACGGGTTTCATTGAACTACAAAATAGTAGAGAGGTTCGAGAAAAATCGAAAGTAATGTGTTCATAGAAGATTATAATTAGCGAACTATATGTTTTATTGAAAAAAATGGTTAGGAATACCTGTGTGCCAACTCGAAATGGATAATAGCCAGTCATAAAGGCGCTTCGCGTTCTGAATGAGTAATATCAATGCGGTTGGAACACAGCAGATCAGTAGCAGAGCTTATACAATGAAAAAGCACTGGGCCACAAAATCTTACAGAGCTAGGATCATTGCCGCAGTTTCTCATCGATGGTCGGATCCATAATATCAACTATGAAGTATAAACTTACGGAGTACAAAGCTGATTGACGTAGCTGTTGGTGAGCTGTACAGAATTCCGGTGGAAGGCGAGTGTGCGCAGATTAGGAGTGTATAATCTGAACAATGCAAAGAAAGAAATTGTAACGGTTCCAATGTAGAACGGTTCAATGTTTATAAAGAATATTTCATTATATAGGTGCCTTAAAGCTTCGGTATTTCTAAACACAACAATTTTTTTGCTTGAAAAATATTGTTTTTTCCTAAGCTCTTTTAGAACCCTAAGCGTTTTCCCCGCATATTCCCGTTTTTTTAAGGGTGCGTGTGGCGCAATGGTTGAAGGCGCCACTGCGACACACACGTGGAATCGATCTCCGCGCCCATGGCCCACCAAGCCTTCCATCCACGGAGTCGGAAAATTGGTACCAGACTTGTGTGGGAGGATAGCAGCACTGGCTCGATACATCGCAAGGCCACCGCGAGTCATTGTAAAGGCCAAATATCCATTGAATCATCTCCAAACGATGTTTAATGAAGTCGAATGCATGGCGCATCCCCCAAGGATTGATCAATGCCGAGAGCTTTTTTTATTCTCCTTTTTATATTTTTAAACCATACCCATAAACAACTTTATCTTCTGGTAAAAGATAGAAACGCATGAAAAAGAGGAAGCTGACTGCTGCTGCCTTTTCGCCTGTTTTGCTTTAGTAAGGAGAGAGTGGCAAAGGCGTGGAGAAAAGGACCCTTTTTCAGATGTTTTTCGTAGGTATCAACCATTTTTCTAATAAAATCGGAACCGCACACTTTTTTTTAGGGTAAATTTAACACACCTTTTTTCAAGCCCTTAGTAAACATTGAAAAACTTTCCTATTTTCACTGCAACTGGATGGAATTAGAGGGAGCAGATAGGAAATTAACGGAACAAATCTTAGAAACTTTGATGCCAGTAAAACGAATCTATTTTATTTTAGCAGTTAGTACTTTTTGCTATACTCAAGAATTTTTTCGCCGTGAATCTTTTTGTGACGTTGACGATTGCAATAACTGAATATTGTTTTTTACTTTCTTTTTTAGCAAACACGAGGTGCTATTTTATTCCTTATTAACGAACAAGCTGATGTTTCGGCGGACTTGGTCTTCCTCAGAGCCTGGAAAGGTCAAGTTGATCGCAATCTAAACAGCGAAACACTTCCATAGCCTAACAGAGAAAATGCCGAGCCAAGATTTCAATCGTATTGAAAACAAAAAAGTTCTTAGGACATTCAGGCTTTCTATAAGTCTTCGAATGAGAATGTCACGTGGAGACCAACCGCACAGAGTTCACACGGAAGCGGAACGTGCTCCTCCCGTCAGAATTGCAGGCTTAAATACTGCCTAATATCACGCGTGATTATGAGGCATTCGTCCCTGCTGTTCATCTTCGGATTGTTAGAGATAATCCAAAATGCCTTGAGAGTTTTGTGCGCTTGTGTTTTTTACTACTGTGCGAGGATCGCAACCTCTACTTCCAAATCTTCCCCGTTATTTCTCTGTGTCCTATGCGTACCTAGTGGAGTGTTTGGTTTAAATTTACCGACTAGGTATTCTTTTATACGGATGCAGAGTGGCCTACCCGTTTCGCCTATGTATTCGTCTCCGCACGCCTTGCAGATCAGATAAACTGTACCCGAACTCATGAAATCACCATCCCTACCGTTGGAGCAATTTGTGCAGCTTTGCGTTGTAAACAGACGGCCATTCAGGCGGTTGTGAACTAGTTGGCTTTTTAGAGTGTTCGGTAGTATTTCAACTATTCTTACCAAATTCTCTAGACCGACCCCTCTAAAGCAACGTGTTATAGCAGCACTTATTTCGTTTGTGATGATGACTAAAGCTTAAAAGCAAAGCAAGATCAATTAAGATTACCTCCAGCTATTTTGAAACACTGCAAATATTGCATTGAACATGATGGTTGCATTTAATGTAGTATCCGATCGTAAGACGTTGTAGTAGGCGGTAAATAAAAGCTTAACACTGCGATTTCGATTACAGCCCCAGCTTAACAGGGTTGAAGATCGACTTGTGCCTTCCAGATCAATCCCGTTGAAGGATGATTGTAGATGGCACTGTTAGATAGAAAACTAGTTGAAAGAAAGGCGAAACAAACGATCCGCATGGTGTGGTGGTGAAAGCGTTAGCCCCTGAAAGGGTAAAATGGAGCTCGATCTCAACCGCAGACAGCTGCAGTTCGGAGTTTTGCAAATAACTCAGCATCATTGTGGCTGAATTTCACACAATAAATGCTCTGCTGTGAAAAGTTACAGTAGCCAGTAAGTAAAAGGGCAATATTGTAAACATTGTTATCAAACTATTAAAAAGGTTATAATTTCTATAAAAAAGCTTTATGAAAATTTTTTCGATATTATGGAAACATTTTTTTGATTAAAAAAGCTCTCTCGCTCTTTGCTAAAGTTTTTCTAATGTTCTTCAAGATTTCACAATGTTCCTGTCCTTTCACATGCGCTTCAAGGAGATAAAAAACGAAGCGTTTTGCGCTCTCAATCTTCTAGGGATGTGCTATGGACATGACGCCATTGTTAGCACTTTGGTGATGATCGAACGTTTATTTGGACTATATAATAACTTTCGGGGACTACCCATATATCAAGTCTGAGTGTTGTCATCCTCCCAGACTAGTCTGGTACCAATTTCTAAGCTCGTAGACATGGCGGGCTTGAATCGCTCAGGTTGCAGGATCGAACCAACAACCAGCTGTGTTTTGGATGAAACCTTTTACATCTGAGCTATTCTCTCTGCATTATTAGTACAGTATTAGATAGTTTTGCTTGCGTCAAAACTCTTTGGGATGACGTCATTGAAGTAAAATGACGGCAATCGTTAAGTAAATGGTAGTGAATGAAGAAACTTATGCTCGTTCTAAAGAATTTTATTTCTATTCATTATATGACTAGAAAGCCAGAGGAGATCAAAGGTTTCGTTTATAAAAAATATCGCATCAGATATATTATTGACGACTTTTTCGTTCTAAGATATCGCCACTAAAACTATGCAACTTCATAAAAGGAAAAAACATGAATTAACAGTCCCACACGCAATAGCACGGCTCTGAGGAAGGCGAAATCGCCGAAACGTCAGCCATCGACCAACAACACTGACAACAACAACGACGGCGACAACGACAAAGACGACACAACAACAACAGCTACGACAACGAAAACTTATGCTAACCTAGCGTGAACTCAACAAGATTAGTTTATAAGATCATATAAATAAGTATATCAACAAGAAATATATTTAAATTCGATAGAAAAACTTCGCAGTGAATAGTTTATAGCAAAAAACCGATCGACGACGAAGATGTTCAAACAGTTATTAATGTAACTAAAAGTCTACTTATTGTCAAAAGAATAGCCCTTCTATCACAAACATGCCCAATTTAACAGATCTCTGGCTTTAAACAAAAAATCACCAAATAGAAATAGTAGAAGGTTCGAAAGAAGAGAAAAATCTAAATGCTTACGTTTGATCCCTCCAGTCCAGATCGTTGTATCCGAGATCGTCGGCCATTATGAAAAGGATGTTCGGCGGTTTCTTGGCACTGATTATGGTCCATAAGTTGGCGAGAAGTATAACAAGTAGATGACGAACGAGTACTGGAGACATCTGGCAGGCCGCTAAACTCTCACTCTGCTAGATGGCTGGCAGGTCGGGCGCCGTGCTGCTCGTCTACAGATCGGAACTGGACGCCAACACAATCGGCTTGAACCGAATACGAAGCTTTTCACTGAACATACCGGAAAAAAGTGAATCTATCAGGAACTTGTATAATACACAAGCATTATCAAACCGAAAAAACGTAGAAGTTCACACTTATCGGAAAGTGAAAAGCGAAAAACAGTAAAGAGTAGTATTGTATTTTCTTCGATAAGCTTACACGAGGTTGATGAACAATTTTTATTCGGCTAACGCTTCGACGTCTTCGTCGACGTCAGAGCCAACGATCAGAGTCGATAGTCGAAAACAAAGAGTTCCATTATGGAGAACTCCATGAAATGTACAACCTACGGAAGAGACGTACGCTGTAATCCTGTTTTAAAAAAGAAGGAAAATAGAAAAGAAAATGTTGCTTAGGAAGCGGTCAAAAAATCGATTTTGCCAATTTTCAGAAGGAAGACGGAATGTGCAGAGTAGAAAATATGGGAAATAGAAAAGGAATGAATGCTTCCGTTATTGATACTACAGCGATGAATCATGCCAGAATTTTAGAACTTTGGATTGGGTCAGAAAACCACGATCCCAACTAAATTGCATAAATTGTGCTTACCATAGCATTTTATTTAAAAACACAAAAGTCACCTATATGAAAAAAGACTCTGCATTTTTTGGAAGCAAAATAGTGATAAGATGTTCTCAGAGAAATCACATATGATAAAAACAAGGCGGCTTAGAACATAGAAGCGGGTACGGGAACAAGTTGGAGCGATTTTTTTCCTTCCACCAAGATGACATCATAATGGAAAAAGAGCAGAGATGAAAAACGAGAAATTCAGGAAAATTTTAGGGTGTGTTATAACTGATGCTGATTTGTGCGCCAGTTCGATTTCGACGTTTGGATGCGAGTTCGTTCGTGGCATCACATGAATGAAATCTGAACCCACCCTATTCGGCATCCCTAACTTATTTAATGTCTCTTGAAGAGGGCGGAGTATGGCTGACGGAAGCCTGCCCCGACGACATTGCTGAACTCGCGTAATCCAAGTCAACTGAATGAGGCGACCTTTGGCGAAGTGCATATCGAATGAATCGCTTCATGGTTGGCAAATTCCGGTACTAAAGGAGTTGTGCTGTGAAATACAGCCGTGATCGGATGAGAGAAAAGGTAGAGACGAATACGAAGGTTGATTATTATTGTATGCCAGGGTTTAGTTAAAAGACGCTTTTGTAAGGTGGTGTGTTGGACCAGTCAAGGATTTCTTATCAGGAAAAAATACTAAAGTGAGAACCGAATATTCGAGGAGAACATAAAATCCGGCGATTTTAGATTCAGAACTACATTTCTGCAAAAGATATAGCGATTGTAATATATGGAGTGAGTTAAGTTGCGCATTGTAATATACATAACGTAAATTCGAAATATACCGAACTTAGCTATACTCTATCGCTCAAAAACAGGGCGCGCCTGGCGCAGTGATAGGAGACGCCCTGCAACACACACGTGGAATCGATCCCCGTGCCCATGACCCACCAAGCCTTCCATCGCTTCGGGGTTGGCAAACTGCTGCCAGACTTGTCCGGGAGGATAGCGGCACTGGCTCGATACATCGGTAGGCCACCGGGTGTCATTGTAAAGGCTAGATATGCATCCAATCGCCTCTAAACGTTGCTTGATGTTTTTTATCCTTTTATCGCTCAAAGGGAACACAATTTTTAAGGAGTTTCCTTGGTTTAAAATGAATTAAAAATAAGGTTACAAAAAGTTGATGGGGAATTGGAATTCCAAAGTGCTCAATGCAAG